TGTGCGTGTGCGTGTGCGTGTGCGTGTGCGTGTGCGTGTGCGTGTGCGTGTGCGTGTGCGTGTGCGTGTGCGTGTGCGTGTGCGTGTGCGTGTGCGTGTGCGTGTGCGTGTGCGTGTGCGTGTGCGTGTGCGTGTGCGTGTGCGTGTGCGTGTGCGTGTGCGTGTGCGTGTGCGTGTGCGTGTGCGTGTGCGTGTGCGTGTGCGTGTGCGTGTGCGTGTGCGTGTGCGTGTGCGTGTGCGTGTGCGTGTGCGTGTGCGTGTGCGTGTGCGTGTGCGTGTGCGTGTGCGTGTGCGTGTGCGTGTGCGTGTGCGTGTGCGTGTGCGTGTGCGTGTGCGTGTGCGTGTGCGTGTGCGTGTGCGTGTGCGTGTGCGTGTGCGTGTGCGTGTGCGTGTGCGTGTGCGTGTAATAAATACACAGGTATATACATACATATGTCTGTCTGTCTGTCTCTCTGTCTACCTATCTATCTAGGTATCAATCAACTTATCTACCTACTATATCTATCTATCTATCTATCTATCTATCTATCTATCTATCTATATATATATATATATATATATATATATATATATATATATATATATATATGTATGTATGTATGTATGTATATCTCTCCAACCCTGCATTGGCGAGGGACACACGCAGACTTTGCAACCTGGAAACTCCTTCCTGCAAAGAGCATTTTTCACCTGGGCTTAAATGGGTATCGATTACTCCCTCCACCCCCCCACCCCAACCTCTACCTCCCCCCCTCTCTTTAAATCTATTCTTTATAAAAGCATCAGACGCATTCCATGAACGAAACTCCACTTGGCAAAATAAATGGCCCCATTTCGTGCGAATAAAATAATTATTCAGTAACCCCCTCTCCCCTCCCCTCTCCCGTCTCCTCTCTCTCTCTCTTCTCTCCTTTCCCCTCTCCCTTCTCTTCTTTACCCTATTCCCCTCGCCTCTCCTCTCTCTCCCTTCTCCCTCCTTTCGCACCCACGAGCTGAATAAAACGAGCGCTGTTCGACATCGAGCGAACAACCTGAACTCTTGCTCCTGAAACACTGCAACTAAAATGCCAAATTCGAGACTGCTGTAACTGCTGTAAATGCGGTGCCTGTTGTAACAGCTGCACCTGCTGCACGTGCTCTAACTGCGGTAACTGTTATATCTGCTGTACCTGTTATAACTACCGCAACTGCGATACTTGCTGTCACTACTACAAATGCTGTAATTACCGAACTGCGGTACCTGCCGTGATTGCTAAGCATGCTCTAACTGTCGTAACTGCTGCGCCTGCTTCAGCGCCTCTCGTAACCCCGCCAGTGGCTTAGCTTTCTGCTCGGCTCGCACCCAATGGAACTGCACTCTGTATCGCCCTTATTTACACGCTGTTCCCAAATCCAATTACGACAGCAGGAGTTTTCCGGTAATAAAATGGTAAAAACGCGTATTTGTGTGCGCGTACATATTAGAGAGAGGGAGAGAGAGAGAGAGAGAGAGAGAGGGAAGAGAGAGAGAGAGAGGGAAGAGAGAGAGAGAGAGAGGGAAGAGAGAGAGAGAGAGAGGGAAGAGAGAGAGAGAGAGGGAAGAGAGAGAGAGAGAGGGAAGAGAGAGAGAGAGAGAGAGAGAGAGAGAGAGAGAGAGAGAGAGAGAGAGAGAGAGAGAGAGAGAGAGAGAGAGAGAGAGAGAGAGAGAGAGAGAGTTTGTGTGTGTGTGTGTGTGTGTGTGTGTGTGTGTGTGTGTGTGTGTGTGTGTGTGTGTGTGTGTGTGTGTGTGTGTGTGTGTGTGTGAGTGTGTGTGTGTGTGTGCGCGCGCGCGCGTTTGCGTGCGTGTGCGTGCGTATATAAGTATGTGTGTACATAACTACACCCGTTGCTACCTCGTTTGTTTAATAGCTGTTCGCGTTTATCAGACTTAATATCAGTCTAATAAAATATGCACAGTGAGATTAAACGACCATGTAACTCTTGTTTTCTTCCAACTTGTGACACGAAACCTGGAGAATCCTCACTTTGGGAAGCAGGAGGCAGCAGCGAGAACCCTTCTTAAGGCAGACACGGCAGACAGTCCCGAAAATACCGAAAGACGTACCTCGAATACGGCAATCACATTAATGATAATGATCTTCATAAAATTACGTCAGCAATTACATCCATTAAAACAATGACGGTGATAATGAAGGCAACCTTACCGATAATGACGATGGCAATTAAAAGGACAATGATAATGAAAGTAATGACGACGACTTACCCGTAACGCCAAGACTAAGAATAAAGTGACTTGGACAGTGATAATGATAATAAAAATAACAACGTGAATGCATAATGGCAATGATACCAAAATTGATAATAAAATAACAACTTACCCATAACACCAAAACTAACAGTACAATAACAATAAAAATACCTCCAACGACCTTCTCAAAAAAAAACTTTATGGAGGGATTTTAACATTTCAGCGACACCCCCCTCCCCCCATCGAACATAATCCTTCAGGTCAAAAGGATACAGCCTGATGGAGCCGTGCTTGGTGCCCACCGCCAGCACCTTCTGGATGGGGTCGAACGCCAGCGCCGTCGGCTGGTACGGGAAGCCATGGCGTACAGTCTGCAACGGGAAAGGAAAAGGGGTTAGAATTAGTTATACTTATGATCATGTTTACTTTTCCTGCGTGCAACAGCAAAAAAAATGCTAGAGTTATTTGTAACTATGATTCTCATTCTGCGTGCAAAGAAAAAAAAGTTTGTTGCTTGGTGTCCAACAAGGAAAAAAATAATAAATGATATCCATTTGACTAAAAATATTTTTTATCTGTATTTAAAATAGCGTTGGAACTACCTGCATTATTAATAACTTGTAAAATGTATGTACATATCTATATCCATTTCTCCCTATACCTATATCCATTTATTTCTCTCTATATATATCTATATCAATATCTATACCCATTTATCTCTACATCTATATCTATATCTATCTACCCAATACATAAAAAAACACACAAGCAGACCCCCCCCCCCCGAGTGCATAGAGCAGCCACGCCACGCGAGTCCCGCCGCAGCCCGTCCATAAAGGGGACCCGCGCCGTCCGCCGCAATACCCTCGGCGCGTGACTGATCCCGAGGCCGACGGCGACGGGCGATTGAGGCGCAACGCACACACGCATTATCAAAATTCTCCTTCAAGTCTTAATCCTTTCTTTTGGGCTTCGAAGGGGAGGAGGGGAGAGGGAAAGAGGGAAGGAAGGAGAGAGAGAGGGGGAGAGGAGGGAGGGAGGGAGGGGAGGGGAGAGGGGAGGGAAGGGGAGAGGGAAAGAGGGAAGGAAGGAGAGAGGGGGAGGGGAGGGAGGGGGAGAGGGAGGGAGGGAGGGGAGGAAAGGGGAGAGGGAAAGAGGGAAGGAAGGAGAGAGAGGGGGAGGGGAGGGAGGGGGAGAGGGGAGGGAAGGGGAGAGGGAAAGAGGGAAGGAAGGAGAGAGGGGGAGGGGAGGGAAGGGGAGAGGAGAGGGGAGGGGAGGGAAGGGAAGGGAATTGGGTGGGGATGGATGGGAAGGGAAGGGGGGGTCAAGGTTGACGCATCGCTTCGAGATTCAATAATGGGGAAAATAGAAAGATAAAAAAAAAAAATTATCTAGTGCAAATTTGCAGGTTGAGATAAGTGTGCATTGTCAGCTTTACCCCACCTCTCCTCTCCTCCGCCGCCGCCCCCCCCCCCCACTTCCCACCTCCCTTCGCCCAAACCCCACTCTAAACTTACTAACTTCTAATGCACATTTCTTTTTTTATCGCTTGTTAAAATCAGGGCATTCCTCACGCCCCGAAGTACCCTTGCGACCCCCCCCGCCCGAAGGAAGGCCCCGCCCAATTTCATTCCCTCGATAAAAGTGTCCCATATTTCCCGAAAAAACAAACGGCACGAGAAGGGGGGGCGTACAGCGGCGCGAGCGTCCCCCAGAACCTTCGAGAAGCGCGCCCGATGTCCCTTTCCCCGAGCCAAGGGCGGCGACGCGGTCCTCTCTCGCGGATTCCGCCACCTTCGGGCAGCCAGCGGCGGGGAGCTCGTTTGGCGCTGTTTGCTCGAGCCGGAGACCAAACACGCGCGGCCCGTTTGCGAGGCGACGAGGGGGCCGTTGCCATGACGCCGCTTACCTGCCGAGGCTTTAAATTCCCGCATTTCCCCTCGGCAAACAGCGCCGGCCGTTCCGAGGGCGTCCGAGTCCTCTCTCCAGCCGCGACGCCCTCCTCTCCTCTCCGCGCCCACTTTGCGGACTCCAACTGTGTACTCAGTGTCGCGACATTTTGCTTGCACAGGCGATTGGGGTTTGCAGATTGCCGAGTATGTGGCCCGCCATTTCGGGCGGAGGGGAAACGGAGGGAATGAGAGAGAGGGAAGTGTGGAGTGGTGGGAAGGGGTGGCGTGGGGAGGGGAGGGGAGGGGAGGGGAGGGGAAGGGAGAGGAAGGGAGGGGAAGGGAGGGGAGGGGAGGGGAGGGGAGGGGAATGGAGGGAGGGAGGGGAAGGGAAAGAGGGAAACAGAGGGGAGGGGGGTCTGTCTGTAAGAGTAACAAGGGAGCCGGTAATCTGAGAATCTTTTCCAAGGTCCAATTCACACGGTTTTTTTTCCCATCGAGATCCATTCGCTGCTTCGTCCCCAGGGCCTACCTACTATACTATACCCTTCTCCCTCATCCTGCCTTGCTCAGCGGGTTTGACTGCTCCATGAATATTTCTGTTCTTCGCCGGACACAGATCCTTCTGGTCCTCGCAACTCCAGCGGAAAGAAGTACAAATAACAAAACAAAAAACAAAAACAAAAAAAAAATATGAAGCACTACCACCCCATAGGTTCTAGTCAAACCAGAGCCCACTCCAACACACAGAATATTAATATCCTCTTCTTCAATTTTTCCTGAGACTTTTCCCTTTCTTCTCATCTCATCTTTCTTTTTTTTCTCTCCTTATATTTTCTTATTTTAATCTGTTTGCACTTTGTACTAAAGGCCCCTCTTCGACGGCATTTCCAACGAGGATTTTGTGGTTTTCTCGATATCATCCTGCGAAGACAAACATACTCAGCGCCCTTTAAAACAGCACGTGAAGACCCCATCGCCACGCTCAGCTGTTTACACTGCTTTCTGACGCTTGAGAGATATATTCAAAACGCTGTATCCTCCTACGAGCGTATATATGCTTTAAATATCCAGTAAAATGGAAAATGGAAAACGAAACAAAAATGCTCATTTGTATTTCATCCCGTGTACATTGCAGGTTAGGCATATATAGAATTATTTTTGGAGCAGCACACAGTCTCAAAAGAGAAAAAAAAGAAAAAAAAAAGGAAAAAAAAACATCCCCTCCCCTCTCCCTTGTCCTCTTCCTTTCTCTCACGCTCTCTCTCTTTATCTCTCTCTTTCTCTAATTTCTTCCTCACCCCCTCCTTCCCCAACTCCCACTTTCCGCCCACTTCGCTGCGGGACACAACCGCGCGCTTCCCCGGCACGTGGCGTCCCCTTCCCTCCCCTCCCCCCCTTCACCCCGCCTCTCAGCTGACCCCCCCAGAGCTCATTTGGCGAGAACCAAAAATATCAAAGACTCGGGCCGTTTTATGAAGACGTCGGAGATCTTAAGGAACACCGGAGACACGAGCGATCTCTCTCTATCCTCGTGACGTAATGAAGTCGATGCGAGAAGGGGGGAGGGGGGTTGTGGGTGGTGCTGGGAGGGAGGGGGGTTCTGGGTGGTGCCTGGGGGAGGGGTTAAGAGTGGACTGGGGGGGTGTCAAGAACAAGGGGTGGGGGAGGGAAGGGTGTGGGAAGGATAGGGGAGGGAAGTGAGGGAGGGAAAAGCGAGAAGGCATGGAAACACAAACGGACCAGTAAAGAATAAAAAGATGATTATCCCTTCCTTAACTCATTTCTCCATTCTTAAAGCCGAGATGAAACGGAGGGGAATGTGGAAACGTCATCTCGGAGAGTTATGCGAACAAAAGGGAACAAAGAATGAAAATTATTATCCGTTCCTTGACTTATTTCTCCATTCTTAAAAACGAAACTGAAGAATAACAGAGCCTCGTCTTCCACCTACCTTCTATTCTTATTTCACAACAACAACAACAACTAATAATAATAATAATAATAATAATAATAGTAAAAACAATACAAAACAGAAGTCATAACAAAAATGATAATAAACAAATAGAAGGATAAAACCAAACAATTTCCTTTATTTGTTGACATTCCATACGGAAAAAAACAGTGAAACACACGACAAGACGTATAACAAATGAAGGTTCTAGACTATGGAGCCTGTAATCCTAAAAGCATAAATCCGAGAGGGAAGATTAATGTTGGCACACCTGTGATAAATCTACGGTGACTGACGCCGCGTTTCAGTAACTAATGGCTCCGGGATGATCTAGTCTACATCACAAACGGCTAATACAGCATTTCATAGAGGGAGGCAGGAGTTGTGTACCTTTGCCGGTGACATGTGCGTATGATGTGAAATTGATGTGTATTTGATTAAGAAATTAAAACGAAGTATGTAGTGAATAATGATCACAGTGATCATGATGGTAACAAACCTACGAGGATATGAGAGAATAATAATTATGTCAAAGATCATAGCAACTACAAAGACGATGGTGGTGATGATGGTGATGGTGATGGTGGTGGTGGTGGTGGTGATGGTGATGGTGGTGGTGGTGGTGGTGGTGGTGGTGGTGGTGGTGGTGGTGGTGGTGGTGGTGGTGGTGGTGGTGGTGGTGGTGGTGGTGGTGGTGGTGGTGGTGGTGGTGGTGGTGGTGGTGGTGGTGGTGGTGGTGGTGGTGGTGGTGGTGACGACGACGACAAAGAAAAAAAAAAACATGTCTACCTCTACAAAGGCACAAATTACCCCCTGCAATCAGCATAAAGCACGCTAATCATCCACCACCCCTCGTTCGTACTCACCCCGACGCGCCCTCGCCCGAATCACGCATCGACACCCCCCCCCCCGCACCCCACTCCACCCGTGCCCTGTCGCGACGAGGGAAGGAAGGAGGGAAGGAAGGAGGGAAGGAAGGTGGGAAGAAAGGAAGGAGGGAAGGAAGGAGGGAAGGAAGGAGGGAAGGAAGGAGAGAAGGAAGGAGGGAAGGAAGGAGGGAAGGACGGAGGGAAGGAAGGAGGGAAGGAAGGAGGGAAGGAAGGAGGGAAGGACGGAGGGAAGGAAGGAGGGAAGGACGGAGGGAAGGAAGGAGGGAAGGAAGGAGGGAAGGAAGGAGGGAAGGACGGAGGGAAGGACGGAGGGAAGGAAAGAGGGAAGGAAGGAGGGAAGGAAGGAGGGAAGGAAGGAGGGAAGGAAGGAGGGAAGGAGGCCCTCTTGATCGTCGCCTGAACGTCCCCGGAAAAGATCGAGTGAGGTGCCACCGCGTTCGTTCCGCCTTAGCATTGTTATTGTCACGTGATCCCCCGCCTGCGTTTCGTCAGTCGGTCGGTTAAAACGGAGGGTCCTTAGTACCGGCGGTGCGAATAAGAGGTATACTAACGTTTTTCTTTTTTGTTTTGTTTTGTTTCATTTCTTTTCGCTAAAAATAACAATCGGAACCGTTGTATTAACTCCGGTATTTATTCATTGCATTTTGCAGCCGGTGCTGGACTAATTGCAGAAATCACGAAAACAAGCACGCACGCATACACATAGCATACGTTTATTCAATAATAACCGGTGATTATAATTTTCTCATTAACAAACAAATAAAAAACATATTGTTTGCTTCCACTATTAGTATTGCTTTTAGAGTGTCGTTGATCTTGCAACAACAGTGAAGTTTTAGAGTTCGGGGCGTATTTATTTTCCATTTGCAAGAGCTATTCAGGAGGACGATCTATTTACATGATAAAAAGTCACATTATTATTATTATCTATATTATTGTCATTATCATAACTATCAAATTTACTGTTATTATCATCACTATTATAATCATTATTACCATAAACATTATCACTATTATTGTTGCTGTGTTTCTATTACTAGTATTTCTGTAAATCTTTTCTGACGCTCAATCTTAGAAATAATTACTCTAACCTTCATTCCAACTTCCTTCCCTTCTACCCCCCCCCTTCCCCCCCTAAAAAAGGCCAGTTAACAGCTCTTCTCAAACCCTGACTGGATAGTGCCCGGTCATCCCCTTTGTCCTCCCCTCCCCCTCCCCCCCTCCCCCCCTTAATCCCAACCCCCCTGCCCTCACCTCCCTGTTCCCCGACTTCCAACCCCCCCCCCCTGGTTCCTCCCCAAATCCCTAACTCCCTCCCCTTCCCTCCCTCTCCCTTCTCCCTCTCCTCCTACCCCAACCCCCCACCTCTTCTCCCTCAAATCCCTTCCTATCTCCCCACTCCACCTCTCTCCCCCAGTCACCCCCCACTCCCCCCCTCTCCCGACTCCTACCCCCCCCCCCCCCCACGACCAGCAATCTTCAAGACGCCAAAACAAAGAGGAGCCGAGACGCCGAAACTCCTTCCGAGAAATACGACGGAATGTGCAGCGCGGACAATGTCTCTCTCTCTCTGGGACGCAAAAGGGGGGGAGGAGGAGGGGATAATATTTACAATAGGTGCGTAAATGAAATGTAGTTATGATGATGGAGAAAATAGTAGTGATAGTAGTAGTAGTAGTGGTGGTGGTAATAATGGTAATAATAATAATAGTAATATCAACAAACGATAATAATAATATCAACAAAATAATAAAATCAATGATAATAACAATGATGATGATGATGATAACAATGATAACACCACCAACAATAACAATAATAATACCAATAATACCAATAACAAAAACGACACTCACAATAACATAATAACAACAACAACAACAACAAAAAAAAAAAACAGAATCGCGAGCAGCCGTCTCATCCAGCCGACGCATCACCCCCTCCCCCCCCGTCCTCGCAGCGCTCGGAGTATCTATCAATCTCCCGCTCCTTTGTCCGGAAAATGCCAACAACTTCCCATGAATAAGAAAAAAAAAAAAACCTTCCCTTAAACATTCACAACAGCAGAATAAGCTGTCAACCCAAACCTCGCAATTATTCAAATGTGCCGCCCATTTTCAACCGAGAATTGAAATGAATTATGCAAATGATCTCCTTTTTTCTC